AAAGTCTTCCTTGTTTAGAATGACCAAATGAAGCTCTATCCCAATGAGATAGTTTTTTGAAACCTAGCTTCATCACTCTTTCACACTGAGACTTTAGTGGAGGACATTAGTGAAGGTCTTAAGCAAGCTGCTGCATGTTAGCCAAGACAACTTGCACTGTGAAATAAATCAAACCATTATTGAGCAAGGCGGGACCATGAGTGTGACTCATATCTGACTGATAAGTGCCTCTACAACATCCCTAATGAGGATGTGGAAAATCAGAAAAGAAGTGAAGTCAATTAAGTTAAAGTAATAAAGACCAATACATAAACAGCCTTCTAGTAATATAGGTAACAAGCAAGATGACTTATATATCCCAATATAAGGGGATATACTTGTCCTCAATGATATCATTAACACTTTGTGGGGTGATAAATACATGACTGCAATACAGACCTCGAAAGACATACATTATTCAAAATAAACAGTATTGGTAGCAACAAGTTGGAGAAGCACTATATAGTAAGAAGATAAATAGCAGAAGAAATTCTGGAACAAGAAAGGAAATGTATGATGGAAAGTATTTGGAGATAGATCAATGGAGATAGAAACGAGTACCAATGCCATCAGAGTTGACTAGAGATATTCTAAACAAGAAGAAAAAATGAGTGAGGAATTTGGGGAACATCACAAGACTGGGCAAAGTGATTCATCAACATGTTATTTCATCACCTTTTGAAGAAGAGAGTAGGAAAGTCCATTTTAACAACTCACTCTGGGTTTGATCTGGGAGTTTCACTTCACATCACAGCAAATGCTTCAAAGAGGCTATTCCTAGGTTGGTGCTCAGACACAGTTATATCAATCCCATACGTTCTACTTTCACACTTACCTGATGGTTATGATAACTTAGCCAATTAAATGTAGCCATGTCCTTAAAAATAATCTCCCTGATGTACTTAAGATTAGGTGACTTGGAGTTCCCATATATAGAGTCCATATGGATAAACAGAAGAAAAAAATGATTTGTCTTCCTTTATGATAATATTAGTAGCTAATATTTATATTGCAACTAAAGGTTTACAAAATGTTTTACACATTTTATCTCACTCAGTTTGTAATCCTGGGAGGTAGGTGCTATTATTATCCCTACTTTACAGATGAGAAAACCAAGGAGATCTTGCCCTGGGGCACACAGCTGTTAAGTGTTTGAAGTTAGATTTAAACTCTGGTCTTCTTGACTCCAAATCCAAAGCTCTATCTGCTGGGTGACTTCACTAATAAGACATTGGATAATCATATGTTAGAAAAAGTACTAGACTAGCAGCCCAGAAGATTTGGGTCTAAATTCTACCTCAAACATTTTACTAGCTGTATATCCCTGAGAAATTCCCTTAACTTTTCTTGTTCTCCATTTGGTCACCTGTAAAATGGGGATATAAATAGTTATTGCACCTTTCTTATAGAGTTGTGAGATTAAAATGAGTTATTGGATGCAATCCACTATTAAAAGTGAGCTGAGATGATTGAGAGCAGGAACCATGTCTTATATAAACTCTGTGTCACCTTCAGAGTTTAACACAGTGCTCTGTAAAAGGTATGCCCTTAAATAATGTTTGTCAATGAGTTTTTAAGGTTTCATTAACATTAAGTAACTCTGACATACTCTGTTGTTCATTCATGTCTTACCATTCATTATTCCATTTGAGGTTTTCTTGACAAATACACTGGAATGGTTTGCCATTTCCTTCTCCAGCTCATTTTACAGATGAGGAAACTAAGGCAAACAAGGTTAAGTGACTTGCCCAGGGTCACACAACTAGGAAGTGTCTGAGGCTTGATTTGAACTCAGGAAGATGAATCTTCCTGACTCTGGGTCTGGCACATTACCCACTGTGCCATTTAGCTGCCTGATATACTCTGTACCTTCTAAAAATGCCCCTTAAGTTAGTTCATCACAATCAACTTGAGAAGATGCAATGTGGCAAATAATAACTGGCATTTTAATAACATTTTAAAATTTGAAAATGCCACATTTCTTGAAAGCAGTTACTACAGGTATTATGATCAAATTTTATAGATGACAAAAATGAGACTGAAATGACTTGACCAAGGCCATGCACACAGTTAGTGTCAGAGAGAGAGAGCACTTGTTGTTCCTAGCCCCAATTAACTAGGACATATTATCCTTCAGATAAACCCTGGAGTTGTGGATTAGGCTTCTTAAAACCTACCACTCTGGAGAAATAAAAATGGAACTTAGGATGGTGGAGACAAGCAACCACCTTCACATGTGGGTCTTGAGTTTGAAGTCCTAATACTAGGAAGGAAGTTATTATACTGAAGAAACTTCTCCCTCTTCCCTAATAATGTGTTCAGTGGTCTCTATTTCAGGAGAAATCATTCTTGATCACTGCTTCTTTGTATGGCAGTAGAATTGGTGAATTTCTCTTCTGCAGATTCTCAAGACTAATAATAATTGAATGATTGTGAGGCCTCCTGCCTCCAGGTTGATCCTATAGCAATTAACTCTAATGGTGCATCAATTAGATGTGAATGGCTGAAGGTGGGAATCAAGGAAGGGCTTTACATAGACCTTGGCATAAAGCAACTCTTAGGAGACCATGCCACCTTGGGGAAACCTGGCAGTTCTTCACCCAGTTCATGAACAAAACAAACCATTAACTCTGCTGTGACCATGGGGACCAAGTCTTGATCATCCAAAGAGATCATGTTCTCATAGGTAACTTTGTCACTCTTAGTTCATACAAATTCAAGAAGAAGCCCTAGAGGCAGGGATCTGAAGGCATAACTACTGATCATATACCTTTCATAGTCATGAATAAAGAATGAATTATTGATCAAAAAGGGACAAATGCTATTTAAAAGAAAAAAAATATAATTGGAATAACACAAAATTGAAAAAAAACCTTTTGCATGAACAAAATTAATATATTTAAAGTAAGAAGGAAAACAGTTGGCTGGTGAAAAATAGTTGTATCAAATATCTCTGGAAAGACTCTGATATCCAAAATATAACCAAAAAAATGATGAAACCAAAAGCCATTCCCCAATAGATACGTGGTCTAAGAATAGAGGTAATGGCCTTAATCTGGGAGAGGCATCTTGTTCCATGAATTTGAAACTAGGCAGAGCAGCAGGTGCAGAGTGGAGAACTCTTCAGAAGAGTTTTTCTCCTCTACTAAAAATATTCCATTTTTCTTCAACTGCTTCTTATATGAGCACTTCTCGGTTTCACTTCTCTGGGCATGCTCCAGGGTCAGTTGCATTCAGAACTTCAAGATAATTCTCCAGATATGGTCTGAGGCAGAGCAGGTTCATTGTCATCTTCATGGTGCATACTATATCTCTATTAAAATAGACTAGGATTATATTGAAGTGTTGGCTATCATGACACAATATTTATTCCTATTAGTCTTGCAATCTAGTCAAACTCCTAAATCTTTACACAAGAAGCATGAGAGAGTCACTTAGACTCTGACATTGTGCGAGCTGATTTTCAAGTACAATAAATTTTGACAACACTAAGAAAAACTCAGAAATATCACCAGCTTACTCCCAGTCTCTGGAAAGGCCTATTCCAGTGCACTGATTGTCAGAGAAGAAGGTTTTTGTTGTTGTTTGTTTATTTGTTTTAATATCTGACTCTGTAGGTTGCCATAGTGCAAAGTCATTTACCCTGCATGCAGTAGAAAGGAAGGCACAGGGAAACTAAGCATTTTTGTAATTAAAGGGCTGACATATTGTATTGCTCATTCTTGAGGCCTGAATGGAAGATCTATGGAGTTATATACCTGAGATCTGCTCTCAAACCCCAGCTCCAAAACCTACTAGCTATGGGACCAGTTTGTCTAAATTTCAGTTTTCTCATTTTTCACAGACTTAACAAAGTCCAATTTAACATTTATCAAATAGCTATTGTGCCCAAGTCAGTGTACTAGCCTCTGCAAATACAAAGAGTAAAAGTGGAAGAGATATTACAGTTTCTTGGGGTAATAAAAAAAAAATACACAGATAAGCATGATGCAAAATACAATGGGACAAAAGTCAGAAAGAGATCCATGAAAACAATTTAAGGACAATTTGAAGAGGAATATCAACTGGGTGAATCACGCATGAGGCTTTGTGAAAGCTGTGCAGTGGAGACTGGGTCCTGAGGAAAGGGAAGACTTCAATTTCAGATTATGAGGGGCATTAAGGGTATTTCAGGGACAAGGAGTGCTCTGTGTGAATATTAGGAATCAGCAAAGGGTAGGACAAGGTCGGCCATTAGACCGTTTTATCTGGAATATCCCAAACTAGGGGTGTTTCAAAATAGATATATTCAATTACAAAAATACTTTGTTTCCCTGTGACTTTATACTGTATGCAGGGTAAATGACTTTATGTAGAAAGCTTAGAGAAAGACTAAGTTGAAAGAAGTGAGACAAAAGTCACTAACCTTTCTAATGTTTTGAAGCCAGCCTAGCCCTCATGAATTGCATAGAACAGGGGAACATGATATGCGAGCTTAATAGCAGTTACCAAACCCCAACTTCACTCATTCCTTCTTCCATTTTAGGGAGTATAGATCCAGGGATATAGTCATAAGCCAGTTAGGTATTATAAGGATTATAAAACGAGTTTCTGATCACAAGTCAAATGAGAGTTGAATTGAGGAACTCACTGGAAAGGAAAGGGAAGTTGAAAGAAGAGATGATCTTACAAGGATAATTTGCTATGTTCCATGACAAACCAAGAAAAGAAAATGTTCCTACTCATTTTATTGAAGTGTTGCAGAGAGGCTTATTAACCATAGCAATCACAGGGAATGGAGGACAGAACACTTGGTAGCCTTGAAAATGGAGTTTCTGCTGAAATGAGATCCAGTTAAAGTCTGAAAAGCTGGCTGTAATCCTCATAGGCAGGGGAGGGGCTTATCAGCTACATAGTACTCTCACTTGATGTTGTACTAGGTAATAGGTGATCCTGAAGACAATTGGATAGGTTAAGAGCAGCTAGAGTGAGATACATGGAGGAGTAACATGGAGAAGTAGAGATGTGATGCACAGGAAGGAGGAGCTGATGCTTTTCTTGAAAGCATTCTTGACTTCCTTGTTCCTCAAACTATAGACCAGAGGGTTCAGCATTGGAATAATCATAGTATAGAACACAGATGCCATTTTGTCTATGTCCATGGAGTGACTAGAGCTGGGTTGCAGGTACATGAAGATGATCGTCCCATAGAATATGGACACTGCTGTGAGGTGGGAAGCACAGGTGGAGAAGGCTTTCTGGCGGCCCTCAGCAGACCGGATTTTCAGAATGGCAATGAGGACAAACACGTAAGAGGTGAAGATGACCATGAGGGCAAAGGAGATATTGAATCCCCCTAATATAAAGAGCACCCACTCATTTATGTATATATCAGAGCAGGAGAGAGCCAGAAGAGGGGGAATATCACAAAAAAAGTGATGAACTATATTGGAACCACAGAAAGAAAGAGTAAAGGTATCTCCTACACTCACAGAAGAGGTCAGAAAGCCCCAGACATAGGAACCAACAGCTAGACGTGTGCACACACCTGATGTCATTGTCATGGTATAATATAGAGGTTTGCAAACAGCCACATGACGATCATAGGCCATGGAAGCCAAGAAGAAACTTTCAACAGTGGTAAATGTTGCAAAGAAAAACAACTGTGTAGCACATCCATTGTAGGAGATGACCTTGTCTCCTGTGAGGAGCCCAGCCATCACCTTGGGAGTAACAGCTGAGGAGTAGCCAAAATCCACCAAAGATAGGTTACTGAGAAAGAAGTACATAGGAGTGTGGAGATGGGAGTTCCAAAAGATCAGGGCTATCATCCCCAGGTTCCCCACCAGTGTGATGATGTAGATGAGGGTGACTATTATAAAGAGTGGTATCTGAAGCTCTGGGGCATCTGTTAGTCCCAGAAAAATGAACTCATTAACCTCTGAGCCATTTTCCATAGATACTACTGGGAAGTTAGGTTATTTACCTGTAACAAGAAAGAAAGCATCATAAGAATGAACTCAGACCTATACATGACTCAGAGTCATAAAATATGACCACAAATAAACATATCTATTGTGAATGGTGGAAATACAGGTGTGAGGGAGGAGGAGGGCCTAAATGATTTTCATGGAAACTGATCCAGGACCTATCATTTCGTTGATCTCGGATTCCTCTGAGGCCCTTAAGACTACTTCTCAACTTTTCTTTTCAGTTTGTGAGATGCAATCTTCTCATACCTATAGCCACTCAGGGAAAGGGGCGCCCTTCTGGTGAGTTAAAGAGGGGTGCATTGTTGTAGAAAGTAGGAGAACTAGACTCTTGTTGAGGAATATGCTTCACTCTGAAAAAGATGATAGAAAAACAAAATAAGAGAGAAAAATTGGAGAGAGAAAGGAAAAGAAAGCCCAAGAAACAAAAGGCAAAAGAAAAAAAAAGACCAAGGTGACAGATGCCAGTGAAACTTTGACTAGGCCACACATAAAAGCATTTAAGTTCTACAAGAACAAAGAAGGCCTTTCCAGGGGAATGAAGTCATCAGCCACTGGGAAGGAATACCTACTAACAGAGTCTTGTTGCATAGTTATGGAAGTCAAGACAATCAAAATGATCACGGAATTATTTGACAATAAATTCATTGTTTCTAAGTCTAATTTTATTTACATTATAGCCCCACCTATTTTTAACATGTTTATATATATATGTATATATATATATATATACATATATACATATATATGAGAGGAGAGGGAAAGGGAGATGGGGAGATGGAGACAGAGACAGAGAGAGACATAGAAAATATAGACATGTCATATATAGACATAGAGATATAGATATCAACATAGATTCAGATACAGATATCCCTTAGATATCTATATCTGAATCTATGTTGATATCTATATCTAAGAGTGTACTCTTAGAGGTCAGGCTCCTGGAAGTGAGACTCTCTCCCCTAAGTCAGGATGGTGTTTAGGAACTGGACTTGTAGTCTATCACAAACCCACACTCTCAGCCTTTATAGCTTCAAAGGACCTGACAGATTCTGCTTCTCTGCCATCATCCTTGAGAACCCAGAGTCACATCTGTACTAAATAAGGCACTACCGGAAGGCCTGAGTAGAAGACATTGGTAGACAGTCTCATGAAATCCATGTGAACTAGCACCATGAGACAGCCATTAATGAAGACAGAATCACATGATCTCATAGCAGTCAGGGGCCTTGAAGGACATTGAGTTTAACTCATAAATGAAAAAAAGAATCACTTTGACTTCAAACGTCACCAACAAAGGCACATATTTTTGGAAACTTTAGTGGCATATTGGAGCCCCTCAGTGGTAATATGAGGAGGTAAATTTGTCTTTATGTCTGTCACTGGGACTTGGAAGGATGAGACATACCTGGAACATGTTTCTGGGAGGGTGTGCAGTAAATAAACTAGGATAGGTAAAAGCACACCCATCTGATTGATAAAGTTAACAAAAAAGGAAAATGACAGATGTTGGAGGTGCTACTGGAAAACAGACACATAAAAGGTCTTTTGAAGGAGTGTAGAATTAGTCCAGCCATTATGGCAGACACAAGTGAATGATACCTTTACTTAGCCTATATAGTATTGAAAACAAAGAAAGAGGAAAAGGACATCAAATGCCCAAAAATATTTATAGCCACACTCTTTGTAGGGCAAAAGATTGGAAAGTGAGGAAGTCTTCATTTATTGGTGTTTAGCTTAACAAATTATGGTTTATGAATATAATCAAATACTATTGTGTCATAAGAAAATATGGGGGCAGCTAGGTGGTGCAGTAGATAAAGCATCGGCCCTGAAGTCAGGATGACCTGAGTTCAAATCCGGCCTCAGACCAAACACTTGACACTTACTAGCTGTGTGACCCTGGACAAGTCACTTAACCCCAATTGCCTTAAAAAAAAGTATGAAAGAAGTAGTTTCAGAGAAACCTAGGAAGACATGCATAAACTGATAGTCATAAAAGTAGAACAAGATTTGTTGTTGTTTGTTTGTTTCAGTCACGTACGTGATTCTTCAAGACCCCATTTAGTGTTTTCTTGGCAAAGATACAAGAGTGGTTTCCCATCTCCTTCTTCAGCTCCATTTACAGATGATGTAACTGTGGCAAACAGGGTTAAGTGATCTGCCCAGGGTCATACAGCTAGTAAGCATCTAAGGACATCTTTGAATTTGTGAAGATGAGTCTTCCTGATTCTAGGCCTGGCATTCTATCCACTGCACCACCTAGCTGCCCTAGAGCCAGGAGAACAATTGTACAATAACCACATTGTAAAAAGGGAACAATTTTTTTTATGACTTCAGATGTCTGACCAATTCAGTGACAAAATAAGATTGCAGAGGACATTGATGAAGCACGCTATCCACATTCTGAGAGGTCATACACTCAACTGCAGAATGAGACATACATCTTTGTATGTGGCCAATGTGCAAATGTATGTTGCTTTACTATGTATTTTTTTCTTTATCAATTGGGGTCAGTGAGGGGGAAGTGGGAGGAAGAGAAAATGTGTGTTAATTGATAAAAAAAAAAAAACAAATTCACCAGCACTGTATATCAAAAAGAAATGCTCATATGCTCATATCTAATATTCTAAGAGGTAACCATGGTGGAAATTATTTCAATAAAGCAGTTGGAGATTTGGTGGCAGAAATAAAAGGGATATCGTCATAAGAATAGGTTCTGGACCACTTGAGCTAGAAAAGGAAACATATGAGGCATTTGGGAAACATCATGGGTTGAACATGGAGTTATGATTATAGTATCATGATGATAGTATATAGTGTAAATGTAACAGAGTTATAGAAGCAGTGACATCAATTATTTGGAAATCTACTGGATTCCTCTCTCTCTCTCTCTCTGTCTCTTCCCTCTTTCTGTCTCTCTCTTTCTCTCTGTCTCTCCCTTTTTCTCTATCTCTGTCTCTCTCCAACGATTTCTTGACTTAACAATAGTTTCATCCTTCAAAGAAACCAACACATAAATTCTGTTCTGTATCTGCTTGTCAACAGGGAGGACCTGGTTACAAAAGGAAATAATAAAAACTGTAGTTGGAGGGGCAGCTAGGTGACACAGTGGATAGAGCACCAGCCCTGAAGTCCGGAGGACCTGAGTTCAAATCCAGCCTTAGACCAAACAATTGACGCTTATTAGCTGTGTGACCCCGGGTGAGTCACTTAACCTCAATTGCCTAAAAAGAACCAAAAACAAACAAAAAAAACCCTGCAATTGTTTAATGATGAACTCACCTTGGGGTTTCAGAAATAATTATGAAGGATCTTATTTTTCATTCATTGCAGGAATTATTAAAATGATCAATCAGGTGGATGCTGTTGACAAAGTCTGCCTAAAATTTATTTGATGATTTGATAAAGTCTCTCATGAGATTCTTTTCAGAAAGATATAAAGAGTTTTGCTAGATAATAGAACAAGTAGGAAGATTCATCAGTAATTAAATTACAAGATCCCAAGCTCCAAAATGAATGGCTAAATATTAACTTGTAAGACATTCTCCAATGAATTATCCCCAGTAATCATAATAAAAGTTAGCATTTCTGTAGCATATTCAGGTTTGTGAAATGCTTTGCTTGTTATCTCATTTTATTCTTGAAATGACCCTGTGAGACAGATGCTAATTTTACCCACATTTCACAGATGGGAAAACTGAAATAGAGAGAGGTTAAGTGAGTTGCCTAGGGTCATTTAGTTAACAGGTGCTGGGGCAGAATTCAAACTCGGGTCTACCGGAGACCAAGTAACATTAGACTTAGGCTAATTAGAATTAGACTCCAAGTGTAATTCTCTATCCATGGTTTAATATCATCTTATAAGGGGTTCTTCAGTGGCATACCCCAGGTACTTACACTTGGTTTGGTACCATTTAAAAAAAAATTAATGACTTGGCCAAAGTCATTTAATGGCAGGACTATTAGGCTTGCAGATTAAAAAAAAAAACTGGAAGACAAGAGAGGTAAGGTCATGGTGTAAAATAGTTAGAGGGCAGCCAGGTGGCACAGTGGATAGAGTGCCAGGCCTGGAGTCAGAAGACTCATCTTTCTAAATTCAAATCCAGCCTCTGACACTTACTAACTGTGAACCTGGCCAAGTCATTTAACCCTGTTTGCTTCAGTTTCCTTATCTGTAAAATGAGCTGGAGAAGGAAATGGCAAACCCCTCCAGTATCTTTGCCAAGAAAACCCCAAAAGGGGTCACAAGGAGTCAGACATGATGGAAACAACCGAACAACAACAATAATTTAGAACTGGAGCTGAATTAGGAAATCCCCTGGGGTTGAATAGGGACGATAATGGAATTAGTGAAAGCTAATGAGATTGGAGGCCGTAGAAAGAGAAACGGAGAGGTTCCAGGACAGTGTTGGGGACAACTATACACAGAGGACAGATTCTAATCTTGCAAAGGAGACTGAAAAAGATTCATTAGAATCTGGAGAGAGTACAGTCACAAAAACCCAGTGGGAAGAAAGTATCTGGGCAGAGAGGGAAGCCAACAGTTTGAAATGCTGCAGAAAAGTCAAAAGATATGGGAAAAGAGAACTATCCAGATTTAGAAATAAAGTTCTCATTTGTAACCTTAGAGGGCAGTGTCTGACAAAAGTTTGAGTGGATTTTCAGGTGAAGTGAAGGTTTGTTTGTTTGGGGCAGCTAGGTGGCACAGTAGATAGAGTGCCAAGCCTAGACTTAGGAAGACTCATTTTCCTGAGTTGAAATCTGACCTCAGATGTTCACTAGCTATGTGACCCTGGGCAAATCATTTCACCTTGTTTGCCTCAGTTTTCTCATCCGCAAAATGAGCTGGAGGAGGAAATGGCAGACTCCTCCAAGTATCTTAGCCAAGAAGACCCCAAGTGAGGTCATAAAGAGTTATACATGATTGAACAACGTCAAAACACTTTTAGTTGAAACCAGGGGTGGGG